TGGCAAGAAAAGTTATTTTATCTTTCCTTATGAGAGAGGATAATCATTTTCATGTGTTTATCAATCATTTGTCGAATGAAACTTTAAAATTTGTTAATTACATGATTAACAAACAATCAATACCAGTAAACTCAAAACATAGCCTATAATGTTTGATTTGGGGAATAAATGGCGTTGGTGGGGATGACCATAAAATGTGCTGAATGATAAATTATAAAACAGTGTAAGCATATTTTAGTAAAAGGAGTATTATTCATGACAGATTTGCTTTAGCAGTTTATTGGGTGGGGGTACATTCTAAGGAATGATTATAGGTAGAGAACGTAGATTTTGAAAATAATTTAATGCCATAAATATGGCTAGCAGCACTTCCCTTGAAAATCTACAGGTTTTCCTGTTTATGTTAAACATAGCTGCAGTGGCATTTGTAAAAGCAGATGTTCTCGTTTTCCATACAATCTTCATTGAAGACTCAGGGCATCAAAGAATGAAATTCTTAGTGACATTTTTCTTGTATTCAGGATGATAATTTTAACGTAACTGTAGAGATATAACTTAGTGTAAATATGGATAGCTCCAAATATATTATGTGCATTCTTTTTAAAAATGGCAGAGATTTTTAAAATAGAGAGGTGTTGAATAACTCTTCTGTGCCAAAGGTAAGCTTAGGTATGTTTACATCCTGAAATTAGTGGGTCATGTGGTTTTGGCACATATAGGTGAATATTTTTACTTGAAAGTCTCACGTGTACTTAACATTTGGTGCAACCTATAGGTGGTGGAAATATATTTCACTTTCCGTGGTGCTTACTGTGCATCACAGGCTTTTTAATCTATCTAGAGAGATCACATTTGTAAAATTGGTATTGCTTATTTTTTGGGAAACACTTACACTGAAGCTTTTAATGAAAAATTCAAATTCATTTTTGATCCTTATTTCAGTTAAACTGTCAATATTTTTATTTTTCATTTTTTTTTATAATAAATATTTTATTGCCTTTTTTAGGGAGGTACGACTTGGGAGAAATGGGGTAGAAGAAATCAAACAGCATTCTTTCTTTAAGAATGATCAATGGCATTGGGATAACATAAGAGAGAGTAAGTCAATAAATCTAAATATTTTCATTCTATCACGTTTTAAATCTTATATATTGATTTCTTTTGAAATAACAAGTGTGTTTGGTACACTTAATGCTAACTCATTTTTAAATTGAAAGATTTCATTTCAAATTTGTTTTGTGGCAATATTTATAACTAAATTAATATTTTCTTACATTTTCATTCTATCACGTTTTAAATCTTATATATTGATTTCTTTTGAAATAACAAGTGTGTTGGTACACTTAATGCTAACTCATTTTTAAATTGAAAGATTTCATTTCAAATTTGTTTTGTGGCAATATTTATAACTAAATTAATATTTTCTTACTATCTTAGCATATTAATACATGTTTATTAGAAGTATTTCTCAATACTTTTATAATAAACAGTATACATTTCTTAATTTGCCAAGTTAAGTTTTATGGATTTCAATAATTATCAGAATTGGGGGAATATGACCCTTTAATTTAAATATGTTTGATTGATAAATCAGCAGTTAATTTTTTATGGAGACCATACTCTGGTGAGTATTAGAGTAAGCATAGTAATTCATTTTTACTTTATGTATGTATAATATTGTTTCATCTTAAGTGTAAGAAATATTTCTACTTAAGGAATGTAGAAAACTGGGGACTCTAAAGAATGTATGTGCAACTTACTGCTGCTTGTAATTTTTAACACCTAGTATATATTGCTTTCCTTTTTTAATTGATTAATCTATATTTAAAACTGATCTACTACAGTAATAAATTACTTACAAAATTTTAATTCTGTGAAATGATAAAATGGAAGATGTGTTGTTAAAGTTTTATGTAATATATCATCATATAATCATAATATTGTTGTTAATTAATAGTATATCATAATAAAACAAAATAGGGATGGTTTATATCTTGTGTTTTGATTATGAATGAAATAATTCATTCTTTTCTGTTAATAGCGGCAGCTCCTGTAGTACCTGAACTCAGCAGTGACATAGACAGCAGCAATTTTGATGACATTGAAGATGATAAAGGAGATGTAGAAACCTTCCCAATTCCTAAAGCTTTTGTGGGAAATCAGCTGCCTTTTATAGGATTTACCTACTATAGAGAAAATCTGTATGTGATTTATTTGTTAAATTTTGTTTTTAGAGTCTACCTATATGATGATGTCTTACTTTGAAACTGAATTATAGAAGATAGGTGTTATTTTGTTTTTTTTCAAAAGAGCTATCAGAAGAATTATTTTAAGTTTCATTTCATTGTTTAATTTCTGAAATACCTTCCTTTGAAGGAACTTATCATCTCAAGAAGGATATAAGAGAATTATATAGTCATAAGGAAGGGTAGAATGTGATGTTTGCCTTATGAAATATGCCAAGAGAACCTGAGATGGTTCAGAACAAAATTAAAAGTCACATCTCTTTGGGGTAGGAGTAGGGAGAAGTTAGAGAAGGACTCAGGGAAGAGATGTCATTTTAGCTGAGTTTAACAATAAGAAAGGGTTTTGAGTGGCCGAAATGTGGAGAGATTAGGAGAGAAATGTTGGTAGGCGAATAGAAGAAGCAAAAGTTTGGAATGTAAACATACGGTGGGAGCAGAGTAGTGTAGTCACGTTGGGCTCAAACATAGGGCATGTGCTTCTTTATGGAGGACTTGATGAGACTGATTTTCTTGATTGTAATCTCTGCATCTAGCACAGGGCTTGGCAGATAATAATTGGTTGATAATTAATTGGTCGACTGTGGTGAGTACTGGTCAGAAGATTAGAAAAGAGATTGAAGTTGGAATTTAGGGGAAGAATAATGGAACAGATGATTGTTGTGTGCTCTGCTGAAAGACTTGACTGACAGCCAGTGAGGAGCCACTAAAACTGTTAGTTGAACAAAACATTTGAGAAACATATATTTAACACACTTTTGGTACATCCATGTATGTAATGATCAGAGTGACCAATCATTACAGTTTCCCCAGAACTGAGGGATTTCCTGGGATATGTGGCATGGGACTTTGATGCTAAAACTGGGAAAAATCCCAGAATGAATTGGCCACCCTTGTAATGATATGATTCTAAAAACTGTTGTAATGCTGACCAAAATGAGGGTATAAATCCAAGGAAAAACCCAAGCATGTAAACAGACAGTGGGGAAGGACCCAGTTGACAGAAATTGACAGTGAAGTAGAAGTGATGATTTATGTATTATGATGTGGAGATGAAGAGATATGATCTTTGTAAAGGAGGAAGGATGTCTCTTTCTAGAAAATAGAGTAGAATAAGAATAAAATAGTTACAGAAACTTAGATGAAGAGGAGGGAATTGTGTTTCCATTTAGTGACTCCTGTCCCAACTAAATTAAAGGCTAGGTCATGTAATAAGAGGGAGAAGTAAGAAAAGTTTAGCATTTTAAATTACTGAAAGTGGTATAAATGTCTAGAGGGAAATATATTGCTCAATTTACAATAATACATTGAAGTGAAAAGAAAGAAAAATCTTTGTAGTTAGTATTTAATTCTGCAAATAACTTGGTTGAATAAGACAGAAAATGGATTAAAATGAAATGCAAAAGAATTTACTTTCTCCCCACTTTTTCTAGGTTATTAAGTGACTCTCCATCTTGTACAGAAAACGATTCAGTACAATCAAGGAAAAATGAAGTATGTATAAATTTTTACTGCTCTAGTTATTTTAGTCACATGTTCAAATATTTCGTTAATATTCATGTTTTTAAAAAGTTCATTTGTTGCTACTTTTTAAATCATAAGATGGCATTCCTTATGCAAGACAGTTCAGCATAACATTGAAATGATTCACTTATGTGAATAGTATTGTTCAAGACACGATGGCTAGTAAAATGGTGGATTATACATGGCTTTAGGCCTAGTTTAGTAGCAAAAGTGATAGAATAGGTTTATAAACAGCTATAACACCAGCTAGAAAATTTTATGACCTTGGTGCTGTAAAAGAGTGCCGATATTAAGCTACAGGTTACAGAAGTGTAGGGGAGAGATTCAAATTCTGTGTATTTAGGAATGAATGTATATAAAGGATAATTTTGTTTATCAAATATTTTGTATTTTGCGACCTCTATAATTTGTAACTGAATACAAAGGTAAATCATACACATACACGTAAATGATGATGTTAAACATTTTTTCTTTAAACTTAAAACTAAAAAAACGGGTTGGATAATTTTGGTGTGATTGGTGTTTCAGGAATTTTACAAAGCTTAACAAGGATTTTAATGTTTTCTGTGTTTTTTGTTTTGTTTTAAATAGGAAAGTCAAGAGGTATGTTGATGTCAAATATATTGAAAAACTCATCGCTCCAGCAGTGTTTTAATATAATCATATTCCACTTAGCCTTTGGAGTACTACATCTACCCAGGAGAGAAGTTCCCAACCTTTTTTCGGCCAAGTATTTTATTATTGCTCCTGTGGATCTATTGTTTAAAATATATATTCTGTAATTTTCTTGTTTTTATTTATCAAGGGTGTATAACTGACAGCAAGAACTTCTGATTAATACATGATACTAGTGTGGTCAAATTATACTAACGCAATAGCAGTCAAAAGCAGTTAAACTTGACTAGTTTATGAACCTGTATATTCTTATGGGAAAATATAGTTTTGCTTAAGACATGAAATATTTAAGAAACCATTGAGAACCTAGTCCCTAGAAAGAATAGTGGAAAAAACATTGGCGTTGGAGTCTAATAGACTTGGGTTGATTTTTAGCTATGCTCCTGGTCTGGTGATTCACCTTTCTTTGAATTTCAGTTTCTGTATCTTGCATATATAATGCTACCATCTTCTTAGGGTTTTTGTTACTATTTGTGAGACATTTGTAAAATGCCTGACATTGTACCTCTAAGGCACCACAGGAACTCAAAAAGTTAAATCCTTTAAAAAAGAAATAATGTTCAAAATAATGGATTATTTAATAGTTTCTGTAATTTTAGTTTGTTTAAAGATTGACATAGCTCGGGAAAGCTACTGAGGAGATGGCTTGTAATTAATTAGCTATTATTTATTTAAAAGAGTTATTAACTACAGCTCTCTTTGTAGTACTGTGCCCAGCACCATGTAGGAAGATACAAAAAAGGAGTTTATATTTTATTTTTAAGAACAGTAATATATTTTGCAGCATATTCAGTTGAATATTCTGAATATTTGTTTCAGATGTAGACCATTTATCTTTATCTTATAAGTGGCACTATTTTAAATAATTTATAGAAGAGCTATGGAGGATGCCAGAAATGGTATCCTTTATTTATAATGAATTTGAAACTTGGTGTCATAGAAGGATTCTGCCAAAGTTAAAGCTTCTTATTCATGTTTACGTAAGTGTGTTTGTATATTCATGTGTACTGTGATAAGAGAAAGCAAGAGTTGGGGAGTTTGTCCCTCTATGAATAAAAGTCTCATTAAAAAGGTAGATATTGTACCATTACAGAGGAGATCACATTAAGTGGAAAGAAAAAATAAGCTTATCATTGTTTCTTTTAGCCTCTCATCTTTAAATATGACCAAAATTTATAATTATAGTTTCTTGTTTTTTAACAGATTCAGAAAAAACTGTATACATTAGAAGAGCACCTTAGCAATGAGATACAAGCCAAAGAGGAACTAGAGCAGAAGTGCAAGTATGTTTTTGTGGATAATTAAGTATTGTATGTTAAAATTTAAATAACTCATTTCTCTTTATTATTATTATAATTCTAGTGATATAAGTATGACAAGTTGACTCTTGTTTATTAATAATTTTAAAGTAGCATGTATAATAAATCCATTCCTGATATTAAAAAAAAAAAAAAAAAAAAAAA